TTGCAACTAAGAAGCCAGTGAACCATAGCTAAGGAACCCGCGAGCCACAACTAAGGAGCCCACCTGCTGCAACTAACACCCCGCACAACCAGATAAATAAATAAGTAAATGTTAAAAAAAATTTTTTTTTCCTGACTCCATCTATACGGACCCTGAAACTTGGGAGCACAGAGCTTGCAGTGACAATCAGGCAACCCAGGCATGAGGTGCTGAGGAGCACAGAGGAAGAGGCAATTTGGTGGACGTGGATGTATCAACAACCTCTACCCTGCCCCCGCCCCAGAAGCCTCTGTTTTTCTCCCGCAGCACCCTCCCTACTCCTGTCTTAGGACCCACATTTCTTCTCCTTGAATCCCAGGACTCAGGTCTCCGTCTTTCCACCACCTCTGCCCCACTCTCCCCAAGTCAGTGATAGGATTAAAGGCAGGACATCGTCCCTGGGCCCCTAACAGCGAGCACAGAACTGGCCACCCAGGAGGCATCGCTGTGGTTTAGTGAGTAAAGGAATGAATTAGAGAAGCTGGGAGCTCAGACCTCATGGTCACAGACGCACAAGATGACAGCAGACGGCAGGTCAGACAGAAACATCAGTGCAGGAAGTTGGTTCAGGAGTGAGAACTTATCTGTAACAACACCATCCCCAGAGTCAGCCAAGGCCCATGGAGAAGGCCAGCTCCTCAGGATGGGCCCCTTGCAGCCCTTTGTACGTCCATCTTAGTGCTCCACATGGTTCCATCCATTCAGTTAATGTGCTTTGAATCTCTCCCTTGTACCATACTCCATAGGGTACCATCCGTCCCCTCAAATAACAAAAGCAGATGTACCCATAAAAAGGTAAGAGAAATCAGTGCTCTTACAGTGGCACAGAGAGAAGGCTATAAAAGTTCAGAAGAGAAAGAAGTTAATTTCACTTGTAGGAGCAAGGAAGTCTTTATGGGGATGGGGAGATGCATAAGACCTGGACCTGGAACAAAGTGCACATGCATCCCAAGTGTGCTGTTCCTCACCACCCACTGCCTCCCACACCCGTCCCCAGCACACACCCAATTTGGTGGCCATGGTAGATTTTGCTGACTGATCCCTTACTCTTTCACTGAGCCCAAGTATGTCTACAGAATCCTTCTGAACACAGAAACACAGCCAGACGATCAAAGCAGGCACACGAAACGCATTTGCCATCCCACACCTCGGAAGGTGTGTACAGCCGGGACATACAGGAATGGGAGACAGAGGGAACAGAGTGAGGACAGGCACCATGGTGGGAAAACACTGAATGCATCTGATGAAGGTGAGTGGCGCGGTTAGACTCGCGGGTAAGGTTTGTGAACGGGGAACAGTGGACAACATGGCTGAGAAAGTAAGTTGAGGCAATATCTGGTTTAGGGTTTTGCCAGGCTAAGGCATGTGGGCTCAGGCCTGCAGGGGGCAGAGGCAGTCGCACATCTGTTCGGGGAGACATTCCGGCGGCAGTGGGCAGGATGGGCCAGGGTGGGGAGAACCTCGAGGCGGGTAGATCAGCCAGACGACCATCCCAGGCAATCAGCGACAGAGCCTCCTCTAAGCTCCTGCGGCACTTGGCGAGCACATCTGTTCAACACTCACCCCACTGTCTCTCTCAGAGCAGTCTTTTGACGGCCTGATGGCCCCCACAGCCTGCGGGTTCCTTGACAGCAGGAACTGCCTCTCTGGGGCCCCAGGCCTGACTTGGTTCTTGGCAGGTGCTCCTTCTACATTTGCAAAGTTACTGAATAGGGCAGTGAAGAAAAGGACAAGGAGCGTACAGAGAAGGGCACAGATTTCCGGGATAACACCCTGTTTAGCAAGTGCAGTTCCTCGTGCCTGGACACTGGCGCAGCTGTCTTTTGGTGTGTGTGGAGAAGTAGAGGACTGCGCAGGCAGTGCAGGCGGGGAAGGAACTACAGCTCACTCCTAGGAGCTGGCAATCGCCATGACTCTGTGTGAGTGTGTGCACATATGTCTCAGGGAGGGCTTTTCAGAGAGAGGTGGACAGGAGACCCCATGATCTGTACTGTCCTAAGGTGCCTTAGGAAATGTATTAAAACTCTTTTGATTGCAGTGACAGAAGCTCAATGCAAGCAATCTTAGAGAAAATAGGACATTCATTGGCTCATACGGTGCCTTTGGAGACAGCCAAAACTAAGGGTTCCAGTAATGTCAGACTCTTGCCATTTCTAATGTTAGCTTTTCTCCACTGGTCAGTCAGCCTCACTCTCGAAGCTAGGCTCCTTTCACAGGCTGGAAACATGGCTGCCAGGAGCCTGGGTTTCACCTCAGGGAGCTTCCCCACCAGAAAGGCACCAAAGGCTTCTTTTCTCATGTCCCAACTTCAGAGTTCCCAGGAAAGGACTCTGATTGGTTCTGCTTCTGTCAGGAGCCTGCCCCTGGCCTAAGACTAAATGCAGTGGCTAACCCGGAAGCAGGGCCATGGAAGAAAGAAATGCTTCCACCAAAACCACCTTAGCTGAAGTGGTAAATGGGTATTTCCCAGAGGAAGAGACAACAGTAATAATCCTGTCTGAGTGCTTTGCATAAATTAACTGTTCCTCACAACAACCCCAACAGGTGTTACTATGTTAATATTGTAATCATTGTTACCCTTGAGAATTATTACCTCGGGAAACCAAAGCACAGAGAGGTTGAGTAACTGCCATAGAACACACAGCTAGTAAATAGCAAAGATGGAGCTGAGATTTAAATTTACTCAATCTAGCTCCAGACCCTATATCTTCCTGTTCTGTTATATTGCCTATTCACTACAGAAGGCGAGAAAGCAAGGTGTAGGGCTCTGAGGAAGAAACCTACACAATTTCTCCTGGGGAGACCCAAGGCCTGAGCTGAGGAGCTTGTGGAAAGTGATTGGTCCAATGTCATGGAAATCTGGAATAAGAAACACCACCACCCATCTTAATCTCACTGAAGATATCTGAAAAGGAATGTTTCATTTTAACTTCTTTTTTCTTCCATCTTTATTTACTTAAAGTAGAATTAGATGAAGCCAAGAAAAGCATGAAAGAACAATGAGGTCCCATTTTCACCTATTAAATATCTAAGCAGCTGTGTAATAGTCATGCTGGCAGTGGTGGGTAGATGGTTTGCTTCTAAATGCTGGTGACAGGACAAAGTGGTCCAACCAGTGAAAAAATTATTTGGCCATGAGGGTCAAGAGCTTTAAAAGCTTTCTTTGACCTGATCACCTCACTCTTTAGAAATATCTCATGGACTCATAAAATAAAACCTAACTAGTGCCATGTGTGAGAGACACATCTAAAATAGTGCTCCTCAGAAAGACTGAAAGTAAAAGAGAAGGAAAAAATAGAAAACAAAACAAATACCACATATGCAAATACAAGCAACGACAACAACAACAAAAAAACCCCAAGGGTTATAGTATTAACATCAGACATGGTTGAATTCACAGAAACTCAGAAAACAAGATACAGGAGAAAATGTTGTAATGATAAAGGCTGAGAGCCACGATGAAGATCTGGCATCAATATTTATGCACCAAAAATATAGTATCAGAACTTATAATGCAAAAACAATTAGGAAGTACATGGAGAAATGGACAGAAATACAGTAATAGTAGAAAATTCTAACTTACCTCTTTTAGCCCATGACTGATCAATAAATCATACAATAAGTAAGGATATGGAGGACTTGATTTGTTAACTTAGTAAGGTAGATCAAATTAAAAGATATCAAGCTCTGTACCTTGAAAACCTAGAATATACTCTTTATGAGATCATTAACAAGTGACCACATGAAAGACCACAAAAAACAAACAAAATCTCAATACATTTCAAAAAGTAGGATGAATACAGATAACATTCTCTAATCACAATGCAGTAAAACCAAAAAGTAATAGCAAAAACAGAAACTGAAGAGCAATAGAAAAGTTGAAAATTAAACAAAAAGAAACAAACAAAAAACTACACCTGAATGGAATATTATTCAGTCTTGAAAATGAAGGAAATTCTGACCTATGCTAAGACATGAATGAACCTTGAAGACATTATGCTAAGTGAAATAAGTCAGACACAAAAAGACAAATACTGTATGATTCCACTTACTTGAGGTATCTGGAGCAGTCAAATTAACACACCACATTGGAAACAACATGTAACGGTCGTTTCCAGGGGCTGGGATGAGTGGGGAATGGGGAGCTGTTTAATGGGTATAGACTTTCAGTTTTGCAAAATGAAAAAGTTCATCTTATATTTTGCACAGTAATGTGAATATACTAAACACTACTGAACTGTACATTTGAAAACGGTTGAGACGGTAAATTTTATATTATACGTATTTTAAGAAACTTTCTCTTAGTTAATTCTCAAAGTGTAAAATATCTTTTGGAGAGAAAAAAAAAAAGGATAATTCCCAAGGAAATAGTGCAAAAGACAAGTCAAAGGAATGAGTATTTCTGCGGTTATTGTCTAAGTTTCACATAATCTCCAGGGGAGGATTTAGAGGGGTAAATTCTGAACAGCACAAGCTCTGAGAATGACACATTGACACTGCTCAAAAAAATGTTGGTTTTCTTCCTGCCCTTAGTCAACAAGCATGTGTGCCAGGCCCTGTATTAGGCTCTGGAGAGACCAAAAAGTATTGAGTCTGTCTCTCCTCAGTGAGGACAGCCTAGAGGAAGGCAGGCTTTGGGGAGATATGTACCTCATGAACCAGAGCCCGGCTGGACCCTGCCTGAAGGACTACAGAAAGGGGAGGAGGAGGGGGAAGAGGCCCTACCAGGACCAGGACATTAGAGGTGGCCTCTAAGAGAAAGCTAAGATTTCACCAGAGGAGAAGTGCTGTGAAGGGCAGTGCAGGCAGAGGAAACCACCGAGCAAAGGTCCAGAGAACAAAACTGAAAATTCTGTTCAGCCCCACCAGGTACTTCCAAGCAGAAGGAGAAGGAGAGGAAGAGGGAGTACAAACAGCCAAGGGTGGGTCCTTCTCCTCTCTGAAGTTAACCCCCTCCTTACCTGGGCTTCTGATTGTGGCCTCCTCACGGTGACCACAGGTAAATCATCTCATCTCTCTGAAAGTCAGCTTCCTCATTGACAAAATGCAACTGATAATGCCACCCGGTTTCATGAAGATCAAATGAGATAAGGTGTGTTAAGAGTCTGGTGCCTCACACACACTCAGCACACAAGAACGGCTGGTGCACATATTTTATAGATGAGGGAGCATTCTCCAACTCAACATTATTCCTTTTTCGCTTTGAAGGTTTTGATGGCCTTGTTTCTTCCTCTCCTGAAGTTTCTTCCACGATTCTCTCTACACACTTTAGACACCAGGTTATCAGTTCCCTGAGGAAAGAGAAAAAGTTGATTCTTCTTGCTCTCTCCAGGACCTGACACTTGTCAAAAAGAATGGACTCCTTAGCTTCAGGTAGCCTAATCAAAGTCACAGCCACTCCATGGTGCCAACCATGGTGCCACAAACACCTGGGGCCTCAGCAAATACTACAGGGGCAGCAGCACCTTCTATCTTCTGGTGTTTTGGGTTTTGTCTCCTGTACGTGGCAGGTAGCATCCTTCATACCTGGTAAGTTAGTTTATTTGTTATCTAATAGACATATCAACAAACAATTGCAAAAGTTGCACTAGAGATCTGTGGAAAATGCAGTGGGGACCCAGAGAAGGAGCACTTATGCTTCACAGAGGAGAAGCATGAGATGGGCTTTGAGTCAGGAAAGGACATGGGGGTTAAAGAAAGAAAATACAGTTAAGGGGTAGAGCTTGGGGTCCCTTGCAATAGTTGGCAAGTCTGAGCAACTGTTTCCTATGAGGCCATGCCCAGTGGCAGGGATGCAGCAACTATTAATCTCCTCTAGAGGGTACTTTGCAAATCCTTCTCTCACTGCCTCAGCCCTCTCGGCCTTACATCATTGGCCAGAGCTTTTTCCCTAAGGAGAATGGAGCTCTGCCAGAGTCCCAGAGTGAGCAGTAATGGAGCAGAGATTAGGATCTGACTGAGTTATAGTCCTAGCTTTTCTATTCTTAGCTCTTAGGCTTTTATGGAGCTCTGGGGGTTGAGCTGCCTTTGAAAAGCCCACACATGGAAAGCATGGTGGGTACAACTTGCTCACCATTAGGAAAAAAATTAAGTTAGAGCTCTAAGTCATGGCTGATGTTAGAATAAATTCCAGATGGCTAAAAGCTTTGAATGTAAAACGTAAAATCATAAAAATAGTAAAAGAAGAAGATAGATGAATATTTATCATTTTGCAGGGGAAGGGGAGTACAGAAGTTTAACACCAAAGGCAGATAATAAAGAGAAGATTGACATTGGTTAAAAAAAAATCGGGACTTCCCTCATGGCACAGTGGTTGAGAAGCCACCTGCCAATGCAGGGGAGAAGGGTTCAAGCCCTGGTCCGGGAAGATCTCACATGCTGTGGAGCAACTAAGCCCGTGTGCCACAACTACTGAGCCTGCGGCCTACAGCCCACAAGCCACAACTATGGAGCCCACGTGCCACAACTACTGAAGGCCGCGCACTCTAGGACCCGTTCTCCTCCACAAGGGAAGCCACCGTAGTGAGAAGTCAGCACACTGCAACAAGGAGTAGCCCCTGCTCTCCACAACTAGAGAAAGCCCATGCACAGCAATGAAAACCCAATGCAGCCAAAAAATAAATAATTTTTTTAAAATCATGCACAAGAAGCCTGGCACAAAAGTAGAAATATTAAGAAAGAACTTCAATATCAGACTTTCAGATTTAATGGGCCCTGGGCCATTCCTTGGGATGGTTAATTTGGAAACTGAATTTGGAGTATCTAATGAAATTATCCCCTTCTCCTCACATTTGTACTAATGAGCCAGCTGCAGGGGGGATTCACCCCAGACCAAAACACTGAGCATAGGCTCTTGGACCAGAGGCAAAGTCTTGTCCCAAAAAACTAATGCCCAGGAAGGGAAAGGATTGTCGTACCCAAAAGACAAGGCAGATCCTCTTCTTCCTTACATACCCATCGATACCCAACCAGCACGTTCCACTCCTCCCACCAAGTTGCTACATGCAGACTCAGTAAACAGAACAGACATGTAAACAGTAAACAAACTCAGTAAACAAACAGAACAAGAATGCACAATTAAAACATGGACAAACGTCTAGAAAACTACACATTTGAGTAAAGTCCAGACTATGAAAGAGGGCCATCAAAATCCACCATCAGACAAACTAACATCAAGAAACAGAATTAATAACTACTAAAAAACAAGCCTTCAGATTAAGTGTAATTAATAGGTTCACAAGAAATGTGAAAGGATATTTCACATATTAAAAAGAATCAAGTGGAGATTTTGGAAATTTAAGAACTCAGTTTTCCAAGTAAAATTCAATGGACTGATCACAAAATAGATATGGCTGAAGAGTGAAAAACGAAGTTGAAAGATCAAGTGGAGAAATTCTCTCAAAATGCAGTTCAAAAGACCAGAGGTGGGAAGTATAAAAGAAAATTTAGATAGGAATTCCTTGCTAGTCCAGTGGTTAGGACTTGGTGCTTTCACTGCTGGGGCCTGAGTTCGATGCCTGGTCTGGGAACTAAGATCCTGCAAGCCACATGGCATGGCCAAAAATAATAATAATAATTTAAAAAATAATAATAATAAAAAGAAAAGAGGCAGCAGCCAGTTTGGCCCACTGGCTGTAGTCTGCCAACTTCTGCTTTATGGCTTTCAGCGCCCTCATTTGTAAGATAGGGACAATAATTATACCTACTTCATAGGGTTGTTCTGGGAATTAAATACGGTAATGTGTTAAGTACTTTGCTCATTGCCTTACACACACTAAGGTGCCAATAAATGTTAGCTATTGTTGTTGCTGATGTGCTTGTTCATGTAGGTGCTGAGAATGAAGAAGAAGGAGGTCATGTTTATTCAGCACTACTGTGCACACAGCAGGGCCAAGTCTTAAAGGGACTTCAGGGATTTCATTTAGTTATTTTTATTTCTTAATAAAAATACCTCATGTTGGCATAGAAAAAAAGTTGGGGGAGGGGGGAGAAGGAGGCATGGAGGATGGATCCAGAAGTCCTACCATCCTGTTTTATAGGAATTCCATAATGAGAGAACAGAGGGAATGGAGGGGGGGAGAAAAAGAAGTAAATTATGTCCCACTTCCTAGAGATGAAGAAAGGAGTAAGCTTTCACAGTAAAATGGCACACTGAGCACCAAGAATAATTTTTTTTAAAAAGACCTACACCTGGATTAATTATGATGAAATTTCAAAATACCGAGCATAAGGGAAATTCCAAGAAGTTTTGTTCCATCTCCTTACATTTGTAAGTGCATATTTCTAGGAAGGGGGCCCAGAACAAGTATCAAGTTCTCGAAAGAACAACCAAAAAGGAAGTCGAAAAACCACCGGCCTCTGTGAAGGCAACTTCTCCAAACAGGGGCGCTGGTGAAACGGGGCTTGACCCCCTAAGTGACACCCTCCCCCAAAGGTTGTTCCACATCTGGATCTTTAATAAAAAAAAAAAATACCTCATGCTGCCATAGGGGAAAAAAAGAAAAAAAAAAAAACGGTTAGGAAGCATGGAGGATAGATCCGGAAGGTCTGCCATCCTGTTTAATAGGAATTCCAGAATAAGAGAAGAGAGGGTGTGGTCCCTTTCACTCCTTTTTCTTGCATACCTGCACAAGGAAAGTTTGACCAAGCTCAAAACCAGACTGCCCTTAACTCAGACAGCACATTATTATATTTTCTTCTCTCTGAGAGGAACATCTACAGAGGTTTTCCTCCAGGAATGTGCCTGCTTTTTAAAAAGTCTCTAAGACTCAAGAATACTATTGGCATTTGCTACTCTGAAAATCTAGCTGGGGAAATGGGGTGGAAGGCGGGTCCTGAGAGCCCACTGCTGCCTTGCAGGGTTGGAGATGTGGAGATGTGGGCCTGATCAGTGTTCAAGCTGCGTTGGGAGGCTGGAGACTTGGGTTGGAGACTCAGCTCCGCTACTTCCAACTGTGTGATCAGTGTGATCCAGGCAGATCACCTTTACTTTCTGAGACTGTTTCCTGGTCAGTGAAATGAGAACACATTTGTTCTGCCTCTCAGTGTAGTTCTGAGGCTAAGGTGGTAAAACAACGAAGATGTTCTGAGATAGCAAATTCTAAACTAAGGGTCACTTATGCAGATGCCTTCAAGGGCCCTGTCACTTATGCAGATGCCTTCAAGGGCCCCTCAGGTAATGCAAATTTGTGAAGTGGCCAGCTTAAGACACTAGGGAACGGTGGAGACCCTGACCTAATGAACACTCTTGGAAGCCAAATTTGGCCCTGGGTCACCAGCCTGTGACCCCTGCTCTAAACAAAAATAAGGGTAATTAGAACAAAGCAGCTCTCAAAAATTGATGTAAAATAAAATTCTTTTTCTTCCCCCCTGTTATGGGTTCAACTGTGTCATCCCCTCTCAAAAAAAAAAAAAAAAGAAAAGAAAAGTAGAAGTCTTAACCCCAACAATATGAGCTTATTTGGAAATAGGGTCATTGCAGATGTAATTAGTTAAGATGAGGTCACATTGGAGTAGGACTGGCCCCTAATCTAATATGACTGGTGCCCTTAGAAGAAGACAGTCATGTGAAGACAGAAAGGCACAGGGACAAGGCCACATGAAAACGCAGGCAGAGATTGTAGTGATGCACCTACAAGCCAAGGAACGCCAGGACTGCTGGCTATCATGGGAAGCTAGGAGAGAGGCATGGAACAGATTCCTCCTCAGAACCTCAAATGGAACTAATCCTACCCTCACCTTGATTTCAGACTTCTAGCCTCCAGAGCCGTGAGAAAATAAATTTCTTCAGTTTTAAGCCAGCTGGTTTGTGAAACGTTGTTATGGCAACCCGGGGAAACTAATACACTCCCCTAAATGGAACTTTATTTTACAACAGGCATGAATTTCTGATCTTCATCATGAGTCAGTGAATCTCCCAGTTTAACTGCTAACAGGCCCAAGGACTAGGGTGAGACACATAAGGTGCCAGGGCCCACCATTGCTGGATGCAATCACTCTCAAGTTCCTGCAAGGGCCGATCCTTACGGTGGGTGCCTCCTTGAGAGCTGGGCACCTCTGGCTATGTCGGAGTGTGTGGCAGTAGTCCTCTTGAACGCTTTATTTCAAATCTTTGAATGGTGCTTTGGAGCTAATTATAAAATGTAGTTTCCAGCCACCTTAACCCAGGGTAGAGCAAACATGTACTTCTCACCATCTCAGAATACTTCCGTTTTGCTTAAGATGGAGGTTGAAGGGTAGCAGAATATGCCACCCCAAAATGTGGCTGTAGGAGTTCAGGACACGCCACTCC